GGGCCGGACGGGGCGCGCCTCAGAGAGTTGGCGGCAGCCGCGGTGCTAATGCGGCGCCCGGGGTGAGCGCGTTCAAGGCGCCCTGGCAAAGCTCCCCTGCGATTTTGGAGGTAGCGCGAGAGAAGGTCCTCGTCAGGTTTAGCTTCTTCTCCTAACACTTAACAAAGACAAGCTGGTCTCGTACGTGAGTTGGTAGAAATCTGGTTATTGCCAAAACCTGATGCGCAGTAGAATGACGATAAAAATCAAGAGGGGGTAGGAATTTTCGCACTATTTCTATGTCTCTTGACTGCTGTCATGGGTTTGTTGCTAAAATTACTATTTTCATTTGTTCAAAGTTTTGCTCAATCAGAAGCTTGTGTAAAGATAAATGGTGCCCACAACCAGCCGCTCCTGAATTATCCCATGGATTTTTGGGGCAGGTTTTGTAGTTGTGGGATGATGGGAAAATGAAATTGAACTTGGAAAGACAACACAAACTGGGCTTGGGGCAAGTTTTTTTAGGGAGAAAACGTTAATTTAAATTTTGCCTGGAAACTGAATGTGAGATACGCCTGTGGGGAAAAAACATGGCCAAAAACCCCAAACACAACATATCACAAACCTTTACAAATTAATTTTAGGGTAAGTATCTCTGATGATTACGGAAGTCAAATAAGTTTTTTCAAAAGAGTCTGGAGGTGAAACTGCAATATGCTCATGATTTGTCTTTATGAACAATTTGAGTGGGGCTTTGCACTGATTGCCAACTAGTATCCAGATACTCGTGCTTTTAAAAATGCCTATTTATACCAAAATACAAAGTGAAGTTTTTGAAGGGGGTTAGGATATTATCCAGTGTTAAGGTCAAAGTAGACTTATGAGACTGGTTTATGTAGACCTAAAAATGCATTGACTTTAATTAAATATCTTGAAACTCTAAAAGAGGACTGCAAATCAGGGACTTAAGATTATTACAAGGGATTTATGTGTGGGGTTTTGTGGTGTTTTTTTTTTTTTTTTAATTAATGCAATTTCTGGTAAGATGATTGAGTTAATGTTGAACTATGTTTGATCAAAGTAAAATGTTCAGTAATTCTGCGATTTCTTACAAAGAAGTTACCTTTCGTAAAGGGGTAATTCCTCCAGCTGGTGCTATATGGCCTTGATTGTTTTCTTAGTTAATAGTGTTTAAGTCTGATGAAGCGATTTATTATATTGCCTCTTCCAAGTGTGCATGTTGTTTATTCACAGAGTTTTTGACTTTTTTTTTTTAATAAGTCAGAAGTCTCTAAATCAGTCTTCCTCAAATAGACTAGAAATATATAAGCTACAACTGCCACTGGGGGTTGAAAGTATTCACTGGCATATAAAGAAGTTTAAGCCATGAGTTTAAGTTAATTAATCCATGATAGAAATGGATCTTTGGGTCTGTGGTTGGTTTTTTTTTTTGGGGGGGGGGTGAGGCGTGTGTGTGTCAACCTTTGAAAATTAAGCTGATAGTCTTCTGAACTTGACAGATGCTTCTAGTTTCTCACTGCTTCTGCTTCTCCCAGTTTTTCCCAGTAGCTGTAGGGTTAAACTGACAGGACTCTGCAGTCGGGTCACTGCAGTGGGTCACTGCAGAGAAATTAACAGTTCTGATAGTTCCACCTGGCCCTTGCAAAAGCTGCCAGCATCTTCAGTCATGGGCTGCAGCTCTGAGTAGAAGGATTCAGAAGTCAGAACTGGGTAGTAACAATAGATGAGAAGCAGCTGAGAGACGTGTAGAGGTTTCTTACCATCATTACATCTGTAAAAACCCTTTTTTCTTTTAAATTATGGTGTAATCTTGTGCCTGTTTGATGGGCAGCTCCTTAAGCAACTACAAACAGGAATAATCAGGTTTTTTTAATGCAGTATCTCATTTAAGAATATTGTACTAAGGTTTATGAAAACTGATTTGATTATTTTGTTTCCAGTTAGTCTGAAGATAAGCTTTATCAAATATTTTCTGTCTGCAATTGTGTCTTTTGATAGAATAGCAGGTTATTGATAGCAGGAAAAAAGTGGCAATTTAAGGGATTTATGCTTTTCTTAGAATCATGATGGGAGGAAGCTATGAAAGCTTGTTATTCTTATATTTGCTTTATACAGATGTCTCGCTTTACAAGTGAAGATGAAGCTCAGTTACAGTCTATGCTTAGACAGTTGCTACAGAGTGTGAAGGAAAAAATCACTGGAGCCCCATCAGTAGAGTGTGCAGAAGAGATTCTCTTGCACTTGGAGGAAACAGATGAGAATTTTCACAAGTAAAACTCTTTTTGCTATTTTTAATATTTTGAAGGGATGTGAAATGTGTTGAATTATATTATTCCTAGAAAATGTTTACAATTTATATTGCTGTGTGAATGTGTATGTATTTTTATATATAGACATTCCTGTCACTAACCTGCTCTCAAAAGATGCTAAATTAGAGAATAAAATTAATTTTGTCAGTTTTGTTTGTTTGTTTTTGTTTTGCCTTATTTTTTCACTCTTGGTAGTATATTTTTAATGTAATCGTAATTGATCAGCTGTTTGTGAGAGGAACTTGCAAAACTGCCTGACTTAGCCCATTCTGCATGTCTGCATGTAATGTACTAAATGCAGACATGAACAGAAGCTAGAAGAAATCTTCACTTAGGGCTGTCAGGCAGTATTTTTGACATCTACTAGACAAAATGTTTATCTTTTTTTATTTCCCCTCGCACCCCCCCGCCCCCCCCAAGGTAAATTTTCAGTAGACTACTTCCATAATGGATTGTTCTGTCTGACTTATATTACTGAACCCTTGTATATGTTATCAGGTAGTTGTTCTTTAATTTATGTTTTGAATAAGGCAGAAACGTATCCCCATCGCACTCGTGTTAAATCAGACTTGACAATGTGACCTCACTTACATACAGTCTAGATTTCTGGAGCCCATGCTTCTCTTTCCTTTCCATGGTATTCTAACTTGTTTATTTGTTTACATATGGGAGATTTTTAGAATGTATTTATGACTAGCCAAGAGAATATCAAGCCAGAATGACCTTGAAGACATTTTAATGAACACCAGAGTTCTGTGAACTGACTTCTGAGAAAGCCAGTTCCCTGCCAGTTGTTTCCCACCCCCCCACTCCCCCTCCAAAGTGGCACTATCTATATTCTCTTAAATTTGTCTAGTTTTAGCATTACTTTGTCAGTGATAGAAGTTAGGTGAAAGTAAGTGAAATAGAGCTTATATATCTAAAATTTCACCATAATTTTGAAACTTTTATGCTCTTGTATCTTCTGAAGATGCTAACTGCTTTAAAATATATTTTAGCTCAGTTTTAATTTCTATTACAAATTTTATCAGCTAAGACTTTGTTGGCAGTCTTGCAAATTTTAAGCAGCAGGTTACCAGGTGACAAGCATCAGAGTAAAAAAGTTGATTATAAGCATACCAAGCTGAAAATTGCATGTAATTTAGAAAGAAAAAAAACCCCAAACCACAACAATTTAAAGGAGGATATATACAATAAAAAAGTCTGAACAACAAAAAGCCCTGTGAAATTACTTCTCTCAGTTTTTTTCTGAGGACTTGCTAGAATAATACCCAGGATGAGGGAGTAAAGGCCACAACTGGTGAAAACAATGCATACATAGCTTTCCACTTTAGAACAGTGAAACCATGGCATCCAATACTCTTTCTGGTATGTTAAGAACTTGGTCATCCTAAGGATACTTTGTTTTCATGAGAAAAGTTTTTAACTTTCATTCAGTGGAAAACTTGAGTGATGCTTTACATGCAGAATGTGAGCATTATTCTCAGCTGCTGGAATATCTTTCTGGAAGGATTCTAGTCTTGTTCATGACCCATGGCAGTATCAAAGATCAAAGAGATCATGTGATGATTTATTAGTGAGACCATTAAGAAACTTTCTCTTTGACCCTTAGCCCATCCATCTAGACTGCAAGTGCCTTTATTAGTAGTGTGTGCTTCAGGATCGTCCCGTATTCTATTTCAGCTCAATATTTTGGTGAGCACTCTTTTTGCTTCATGGATATTTTGCCTCAGAAATTCTATCAGATTCTGAGGCCTGCCCTTCTTTATCCTTTGTTCCCACTATGATGTAGAAAAGACAGAAACATGAGATCTGCAGAAAGCTAATAAAAAGAAAAATTGAATCAAATTAAAAATTCGTTCAGTAATAGAAATCAGTATTTTTAACTATATAAGTAGCAAGTTTTCTGTTATATTTTTTCATTAAATTAAAGTCCTACAGTTAGTTTTGGGTTTGTTGCTTGGTTTTTGTTTGTTTGTTTGTTTGCTTTCTCTTCCTGCCTCTCTGGTGCTTCCTTTGTAACCCCTACCAGATCAGTCTGACTTGATTCTACATGTGAAGAATTAGTTCTGTAATTGCCGAAACACTTACTTGGTACAAAACATTTTTAAGGGGAAGAATGATGCAGAAGGCTAGGACATCAAGCAGACATAAATTTAGGGGCATGAGTAATGATGCAATTGCTGCGTATGTCGGGGCAAAGCAGTCACTGCAGAAAATGTATACCCTGAAAATGTTACTGTCGTAAAACAAATGGGAGAAACTTCTATGAAAGCTTTTGTTCAGTGGAGAGTTGTACAGTTTCATTATTGCAGAATTAAAAAGGCAGCCTTGAAGACAAGTGGAATTAAACATTTGCATCTTTCTTGAGATGTGTTTCTATTACTTTCATTAGGGACAAAAGTGATGTAGGAATGGAAATAAGGGGGAGATGGGACTGTTATATCTGATGGAACTTCAGGTAGGCAATCCACTGAGGAACTTATGTATCACAATACAAGACAATACTCTGTGCTTATTTTTTATATGTATCTTGAATGTAGTTTGTTTTTATATATGTATATATAAACATAACACACAAGAAAGGCAAAAGCTGCTGCCTGTTTTAACAGTTGTTTTTACTTATATTTGCATTTTATAGCTTTGGACTCTGTACCTATGTGATGAACTGACTGTTTTATTTGAATTTTTCTCATTCTGTGTTTATCCAAATAAACACAAAATAGTTGCACATCTGCATTTAATGTAATGAAAATACAATGATGCGTCTACTGTTTATGTATGATTACTTTTTTGTGTGTGTTTCTGTTTGTCTTGTCCTTTATACAAATTGGAAGACATAAAAAAAATTAATACATTCTGAGCAATACTTTTTAGCTATTTCTGTAGCTAATACAGAGTCACGGAACCCAGTGAGATTCTTTTGAAACCCCTGTCTAATTATCCTTTTATTTAAACTAGATTCTGTGAGTATCTAATAATAAAAGTGTTAAGTGCCAATTTCTATATGTTTGAGACATACGTGTAATCACAGACAGCTAGTTTGTCAGTTTGAGCATGCTCTTCTGCATACTGTCAGGACACACTGACTTTCATAAGCCTTTCAGAAAGTCTTCTAGCATACTTGTATGCTAGAATTTATAAATAGTGTTTTCTGCGTTAGTTTTCATATATAATGGCATAAATAATAATACTAGATGGATATACCGTAAGACAGTGTAATATTCAGGATGCCCCAAGTAAGGTTCTTGTGGAATTTTAAACTTCAGATTTTTTGATATTCTATGATTTTTGTCTACAAAACCTTAACCTGTTGACTGAGTAGACTTTTACATTTAAAAGAAGCGCAAAATGAAATTAGAAACTATTTTGTATTATATATTTAAATTGCATATTAGGGAGAATTTCTTTACTGTGAGGGTAATGAGACACTAGAAGAGGTTGCCCAGAGAAGCTGTGGCTGCCCCATCTTTGGAAGTGTTCAAGGCCAGATTGGATGGGGCTTTGGGCAACTTGATCTGTTGGATCATGGAAGGGGGTTTGGAACTAGATGTTCTTTAAGGTCCCTTCCAACCCAAGCCATTGTATGGTTGTTTCTTCCTGGAATTTGCTGATAATGACCATATTGAAGAAAATCAAACTTTACCATGTTTTTTACACTGTTGATTCTCTGCAAGTCGTAAAACCTCACCTTAAAGTGACAGGTCGGCTGGGATAGAAGATGGCAAATGTAATATTGAAAATGTTTGATGGTGAGCTTTAGGAAATCTATTACATTTTATTATTGTATATTTGTTGCAGCTATGAGTTTGTGAAATACCTTAGGAAATATATAAATAACACTGTGGGATCTGTGATTGAAGAAGAAACAGAAAAATATATTTCTGCTCAAAGTCAGGGTGAAGTATCTGGCTATGACACGCTTGTCCAACATGTTGCTAAGAAGACCCGTGAATCAAAAGAGTGAGTATGTACACAAAATTCACATTTTTATTTCTTCTTGGCCTGTGTCTTCCATTCTCCTTGCCAGAACTTGTAAATTCTGAAGCAGTGGGTAACGAAAGTGATTCTTCGCTTTCAAAAATCGGTGCTAAGCAATTCAGATATTCCCACCCTACACTGCAGTTTGTCGTGCTTTATCTCACTCTGGAATTGAAATTATGAACTATGAACTAAACTTGTTGAACTTACTGTGAACTGAAGGTGCTTCTGCATTGCTGTCTGCCTAATGTAGAAGTGGTATGCAGACCAACTGCCTGTAACTATCCAAGATTTTTTGACTCAGGCTGTCAGATGGCCAGAAATAAGTAGATGTGCAAAACCATATATTGCCACAGTGGTCTATAGTCCAGATTAGTTGGTTTTGAACACTGTATTTAGTAAAGAAGCCATAAATAGAAAAGACCTCTGTGATTACCAGTTAAATTCTTTTCTCGGTCATCTCTTCCCTACTAATTTTATTCACCTTCACATGGATATTAAAATAACTTTTCTTTGGAATAGAGAGGCTGGTAGCAATCTTACTGAATTTTCATACTGTGTATTTTGGATTTGCATAGGCAGATAATTGCTGTGATTCTTTAAAGCAGTGGTCCGTAGTGCTTATAAAATGGATTTTAGTATATACAGCTGTTATTTCTAGGAAGTACCTAAAACTTCAAAAATATGGTTATCTTAAACATTTAAGGTACATACATCTTTTGTTGCTCATTTTGGATTTGCATTTGTATTTCATTCATTTCTGTAAATTCAGTGAGTTTAGGTCTAAGTAATATTACGACATATTCAGTTATTCATGATTTAGAGAATTTTTTTTATTGGAGATTCTTATGCTCTTTAATATTAAAATAATTTTTACTTTGAAGATACAGAGAAATGATGCATGCCTTGAAGAATGTCATGATGGTTGTGGTAGAATCTTTGATTAATAAGTTTGAAGAAGATCAGATGCATAATAAGGAGCTGGATAGTAAGACAAAGAAAGAACGTCGGAGTGGCTATTACACAGACAACTGTTCCGACAGTGACTCCTCATTCAACCAAGTACAATGTGTTTTCTTTCTCTCTGTTACGAAATAAGCACGGTACTGCAAAATTGTTCAGTTTCTGTCAGTGAAGATTGAGAGCAGCTGTAGAAAAGGATTCATCTTAGTTATCTTTGATATATCCCAAGATGGATTAATTACCTTTCTCTCACACTGAAATACTAAGTTTATACTAGCTGTCTAACCTTTAGATAGCATATGCTAGATGAGATTAATATGATGCCCATAGGCTCTAAAGTACCTCTGCAAGTACTATAGATAAAAAGATAAAATAATGGTAAAAGCAATACGTCATCTAAATTTTTGTGATTTTACTTCTGCAATTAATTTCCAGAGTACTGTGCTATTCTATCTTCCTGAATGAATTATTATAAGGGATTTTATGAAGATATAGAAAACTTTTAAGTAAAGCAAAGCACAGTATATAACAGTAATTTTGTTGCTGTAAATTTAACTTTGGGCAAATGGCAGAAGACATTTAGAATGTTGATTTTAATGTTAAATTAATACAAATGTTGAAGTCCTAATTATTAAATTAGATATCAGAAAGACTGATGATTTTAATCTTCTGCTGTTCAGTTTAATAAAATATCCTAATGATCATTCTATAATACATATTACAGAGTTACACGTTCATGAGTCAAGAACAATTGCAGCTGCTTGTAGAAAGGCTTGACCCTATTCAGCCTATGGAAGTAAGTTCAAAAGACGAAATAAATTGTTAATAATAAATGAATATTTATGGCATATTGCAAAACAGGCTGTATGTACATAAGAGTTCATATGTACCTAAGTGGAATCTTGTCTTTGTTGGTTTATGTTATCTTGGCTTCAGTGCAGCAGCAACTGCTCTGCAGTGCAGTATTTCATTGTTCATAACCATCTGCTTCAAAAACTAGTGTTGTAGCAAGTATCTGTTTTGTTTTGTCTGGAGTTTATGTGCCTGTACATGGGCATTTATAGTTTGGAAAAAGTTGTTCTGTGTGGGATAAAGTTATTGAAGCTTATTTTCCTGTATATGTGTCCCTTGTCCTTGGTAACTTTCATGTTGTCCTTTGTGTTACCTCCTGCTGGTTTGCTAACAAGCTACTGCCAGAGGGAATATAAAGTCCAAGTTAGGGTTGCCTTCCTGTCAGTAGCAGTACTAATTTGGGTCTCTAACCACCAATCAGTACCAGCTGCTGATATTTTTAAAGCTTTTAGAAGCATCATTTTGAGAATGCTGTTTCAGTAAGATTTGTTTGGGATTGTCTGCCAGTTGAAAAATACATGGTAGGTTGGGACCAGTATGAACATCGTGATCCAAGTTTTGTTAGAAAACCATGTAGAAAGTCTGATGCTATTAAATATTGTTAAAATTTCCAGTTTGTTTCAGTAATATGAAATGAATTACTAGAGATTACAGTTGTATACGAACAGAACAAAAAAAAAAAAACTTATTTGAAATTATTTAGATTATAATGCTGATGAAATTCAGCAGTAAAACGTTGTCTAATAAGTCTGTTTCCAATTTACTGACATTTTAGAGAGCTTCTGGGCACCTTTGTGCTATTTGACTATAGTTTTCTATATTCCCTGGTAAAAACGTATCTGAGTACAAACAGAAAGTAGAACATAATCTTTGCATTCGGTATTGAAAACTTATATAAAATGGTTTTACTTTTTCAAATACATGTTTATTTTTTTTTTTTTAACGTTATCTCAGTGATGTAGTGTTTTGTCTAAGTTACCATAAAAATATATCAGAAGATAACTATTCTGGAATTCCTTATCTGTTGTACAGCTGGGTCCTTCCTTCCTCCAACTTATATTGTAAATTACATATTTGAGAGGTTGCTTTAAATGGATTTGTGGTGTTTACATTTCTGGCTACTTCAGGTTCGCCAAGAAGCATTGCAGACACTGTGCTTTGCCCCTCCCTCTGATATATTGAACTCTGAGACTTGGCCAAATCTGCGTAAGCATCTAACGATGTCTCTATCAGATCCTGATGCTGCATTCAGTGTAAGCTAATGTTCTGTATTTAGTTATCAGATATGTAGCCACAGCGAAGAGTGCTGAAGAGAACTGAGAGTTAAATATGTGTTATGAGTAGTCTAGCAGTGTCCCAAGACATTTTGTTATTTATGTCTCACAGACTCTTTTTGAAGTAAAATTATGATTTCCATAGGTCTTGATTTAAAGAATTACAACAGGATTTCAATAGAATTTTTAGAGACTGGAGTACTTATTTGCCTATCTTTTAATGGGAATTAAGAGGTTTTTATATCTTCTAGCAGATATGTAAAAATAAAAGTTGACAGAATTCTTATGTAAAATATGTCATGTTAGTATTTCCTATTTAAGTCAGGTATATGCTCCGTGGTGAAAATGATACATAGTAACATTACACAGGCCCTTATGAGGAAAAACATAGCAGCTACTTAAACTGCTTTTAGATTATATATAATGCCAATTAAGTCTTATTTTTTTTCTTTTTCTTTGAATTTTAAAGTGATTACCAAATACATAGGAAAGTTGCCTCAGCTGCTGTCATGTACTTGTCTGTCATCGTAGAAAGTCTACAGTTTCTTTTAAAACAGTGCTAGTTACAAGTCACTGGTATGTTTAATAACATAAAAACATTAATGCTAATGGAAAAGTACAGTAATATACCCTGATCTGCTTATTTGTATAGCAGTGAGACTTTGGTGCTGTCAGTTAAAAGTATTCAAATAAAATTTCGTTTAGACTGAAGGTTTCTGTGGTCTGAAACTATGTATTTTTATAAACTATGCTTAACATCTGTGGATATCAGAGCAGTATATGTTAAGAATAATGCCACTACATATTGATTATTGTGCAATAATAATATGCAGTTACACGACTATTTCATACATTGCTTGCTTTTTCTCCCTTAGGAGAAAATTCTTAGGTTCTATGCAAAAGCCTTTTCTTCTTCTCCATTTAATATGACAAGAGATGTCTATACAAGTTTAGGTATGTACATTTAATTACATTTAAGACTTGACGAGTCATTTACTTCCTGAAAAATCAGTTAAGTACAGTTTAAGCTGTACAATGTAGTCTGTTTTGTCACTAGTTTCATGGAGTTGTTTTTTTTTTATCTTGTTTTTTAGCAAGACATTTGGAGTTGTACTTTCTTTCTGGAGAATATTCTCTTTGTGTTTCAGCTGGTCTGGATGTATCTAACACAGATATAGATCGTTTACTTAAAAAGGTATAAATAAACTCTCTGTACCTTTTTTGTCATTACTAAAACATCATGCATTATTTCTTTTTAAACTTTAATAATTACATTTCAGGTCCGCCTTTTAAATGAGTACCAAAAGGAAGCTCCGTCGTCTTGGATTCGGCATCCCGAAAAGTATATTGCCTGAAGAAACCTGTCATTGTTTCTTAATTTAATGACTTTTGACATATAATTTTAGCAAAGATTACAAGCTGCATAACGACTGGTCAGGGGAAGTTGTATAGGAGTAGTCATGGGTCATACTAAGCTGCTTATTTAGCTTTTGAAGCGTTCCAAGTGTTTTTTTAACAAAAATAAATTGGATGTTTTATGAAGTAAGAAGTTGTAGTACTTGGTATTTACAAAACTTGTAATAATTTAGGAGAATATATGAGTATGTTAGTTTTATTCATGGTAGTACAAAGAATGAATATTCTTGCAGTATCAAGTTAAAGATAATGTTGATTTATCTGAACAACAAGGTTTTACAGGAAATTTTTTCCCTGAGTATTACTGGTGGAAAGATTTATGTAATTTTTGATTTCTCTTCATTTTTATCTATTTGTGTCATAAGGTACATGGAAGAAGTAGTAGAGAGTACTTTCTCACTTTTGTCAGTAAACCACGAGCCTAATCATCCTGCCTCTCCAGATTTTTTGAGTCCAGTCTACTTCTTGGCTTTGCTAGATATCAAAGCAGTATGGTTTAAAAAGTGGACGGTAAGCAAAAAAACTCCAAGCCAACAACCCATGACTTGTTCATGTCTGACATGTATTTTGAAAAGTTTGATTTATGACTGTTATTATCACAGACCCATTGTGTCCTGATAACAACCTATAATGAGCACTGTAATTAAGGAAGTCTGGGGTTTTTTTCAGGCATATATGTCCTTTTCTCTTTAACACTACTGTCTCCCTCCATTTCTATTCGGTTACTAGTTTTCATAAGACTTCTGAGAATTTACTGCGCTTTGCGACTTCGGTCCCTTTTGTCATAACTGACTGACAGCCATCAAAAGATATAAATATTTTCCTGGAAGAAGTGATGAGCATGGAAGTACAGTTACATATGTGATATGCCACACACAACTTGCTGAACTCCAGAGGACTTTAGAGCGTTTTCCAGCCTACCGTGTGTAAATTTACAGTTTAGGATTTACATGGCTATGCCAAAGCATGTAGTCTAACATTTCAATGTGGTTATTGTTTACTGCATGTTCTGCTACATATTTTTCTAATGACTTGTTTTGGTCATCTTAAATGTACTGCAAACAAAAGACTCAGTTGAGTATAATTTGATTTACGCAAGCTGGAGTTCAGTACACTGAATATGTACTGTGCACAGGATCCCTAATGGAACAGAAGAGGAGATATTTTTTTAATTAAAAAAATAAAACTTACATGTTTGAAGTTGACATTAGGTTGTCTTTGTCATTTTAGCATGCGTATTACAGCAGAGCAGTGGTACTTAGGCTTTTGGAAAAGAAATACAAATCTTTGGTGAGTATTTCCCAAGGTAAATTTATTTGGAGCTTGTTCCTGCTTTGCACATTGTGGTTTGAACATGTGTTTTCCTTTTTTCCCATTTGTCAGAGCTATTCCAGGTTGTTTAGCTAGGTAAGCCTTTTGGGTTTTTAAAAATTATTTTTAATTTCTGTTTGCTTAAATGACTTATTGTTAAATGCAAAGAAGGGAATGTGACCAGCTCTGAGTAAAGGGAAATTTGGATGTTTTGTAGCAGGTGTTTAATTAGGATTATTGTTTCTTAATTCCTGATGTTACATTCATATTTAGAATTATTTCTGACAATGCATAAAGTAGCAAATAGTGCATGAAAAAGCATAATGAAACCTCTATGCTGAATTTGTTTTTTTTTGTGGAAATAAACCAAAAATCCACCATTGTGTTCTTAAAGTTGTAATACAAAGCATTAAGGATTCAAAGATAAACTCAGAAAACATCTTTAGTAATGGAGATGTTAACCCTATCATGTATTCTGTATGGACAAATCTCTTCAATGGGATGGAACTTTCATTCTTTTCAGTAAGACCAATACAGATGTGAAATCTATTCATATAGACAGGAATTTGGCAATGTTTTGTAAAATCTTCTAGTACAAATAAAATACAATGTAATAATATATCTGACTGATGAAACCTTAAGACTGGAGACAAGGATACAGACAACTATAATAGCTGTCTGTCTTCTTTATCTGTATGCATGGAACAGAGCATAGAATAAAGCATGTTCATTGCAACAAAGTTTATAATAGGAAGTCCATGAGCAGGGTAGGGAGTAAACATACAGTTATTTTTTTTATTATGTATGTCTGTATGTTTTACTTACAATTGTGAATAAGTCTTAGCAGCTCCAAACTGTAATTAATCAAAAATATAGTTTTTTCTTGATATGATTCCTTTCTACATCCATGCTGATAATTTTTACACTTTTATACACATTGATTACATGATAATGCTATGATAATGATACAACACTCCTGTAAAGAACAGTAATAGCACTGGCAGCACCCAACAACCAAGCCTACAGTTTAGTAAGTGTGTTCAAGACAAAGTTTTTCATGTGTTGATAATAAAAATCTTCCACAGTGATGACAATATGGCAATTAGAGATTGCCATCAACTTCTCAAAATACTTCCATTGTTTTCTGTACTCTTTTTTTAAGAGACTGTCTTAATGCTCATAGAGCTGTTAGGGTGATGACGTAATAATAATTGTAATGTGTTTTAATCCTTGTAAAATTTTGCCTCCTGTTGGTTAACCTTTCCAAAGCACTGAAACATGAGATACTTGCCATGAAGTGGGTGTTCAGGTTCTTGTGTTAAAGGACAGTACTGGATACAAGAGAAATGATGTTACTGTAATATATCAGGTATTTTATTATTTTGTGCTATTTTTCACAGATTAATGCAGCTGTCCAGCAATGCCTTGATTATTTTGAATCTTGCAAGACAGGAGTTAATAAAAATTCCAGTGCCCATGACTTCTCCCAGCAGCACCGTAGTGAGTATCTTTGCATGGCTTGCATTGTATGCATGTTCATCCACATTCTCTAGGTCTTTGAGTATGCTACCTCAATAGGAAGGTGTTCTGTCTGTTCTTTTTCTTCCTGAAATATTGTATGTCTGTCTTCTGAGAGAACACTAATAGCAGTGATCAAGTAACAGCAGTTACTTAAATTGTCTGTCTGTCTTTATGTACAAAATGATCCATGTATGTTGCAGGTAATAGGTAGGTGCTGTGAAGTAAACTAAAGGAGTCAAGTTCTAATTTTTGTTTTTATTGTTAAAGGTGAAGAGCAGAGCTTTTCTTACACTGGACAAGAATTGCAGTATGTCTATTTTGTTCATTCACTGTGTCTTTTAGGAAGACTGTTGATCTATAAGCAAGGCCAAAACCTCTTTCCAGTACAGCTGAAAAATAAAAAAGGTAAGGGGAGGGCTGAGGAAAATGCGACTTGTCGAGAAACACTTTATCCAAACTTGATATGTTTCCACTGAAACATTGTGGACGTTATAGGACAATACTCTGTTCAATAATTCTGTGCCTGGAAATCTTTCTTAAAAGATGGTATTGGTAACTTTGAGTATCATCACAGTTTCTTTGATGGATGTGGTTGAATAGATTGCTCCTTGTCCTAATGTTTAATATGTTAATTTCGTGTTGAAGGAGAGTTGGATTAGTATGTGATTCAGTCTTTCTAGGTATGAGTAATAACTTCTGTCAAATTATTGATATAATTGGAAGAGAGACCTATCCAGGAACCAAAACTGTTTTTCAGGTGTGAAAATCAGTATTTCAAGTTAATTGCACATTGAAAACAATTGCTCTGACCTTAACCTGTTAATAAAGGCAAAACAATGGTAGAGAAAAAGGTGGTACCTGTGGAACAGATGTTTAATAAAGATAGAAGATATGAGATAGAAAAGCCCTTAGACACTCAGAGATCTGCATTGTGCAGGGTTGGAAAATATAAGTGTGTGAGGATTGTAGTGTTCCATTACATTAATATTTCTATTAATTCACTGTAGAATTCAAAACATTACTGTATACTAATTCTGAGACTTTTGAAGGTATTTTTTCCCTCTGGTTTGAGGATCAGAACTTAATAGATCCAACAGAGCAGTTGTGAGGAAAAAACATATACTAATACAGTGCTTTTGTCATTTCTCTCTATCACACCATTCAAGCAATGATCCATTGGTAATGCTTTTTTTTTTTTCTCTCCCCTACAAAAGTGACAATCTCACAATCTTCTTAAAGATGTCCTTCTCAGCTTCACAGATAGCAACTCTTTCCTCACAAATTGTCTAGTAATTACATTAAACTTGGAAACTTGGAGCAATAGTTCCCAACCTGCATTTAGCTACATGTTGTTTTTGTTTCAAACCTGAGGAGAAGTTGTATGACAGTTTGTCTCTTTTCCAGTTGCTCACTTAATCTAATAGCAAGGTAGTGCTTTGTCCTACAGCTGTGTATATTCAGTATTCTCAAATGTTTGCTGCTTTTTTTTTTTTTTTTTTAATGGAAGATTTGGTAAAATTGCAATTGGCTAAATTGGGAGCAATATCAAGGCTTCTAAATTGATCGTGAAATAGCTTGGTAGAATCCCAGGGATATGCATGTCCTTTGCTTTACCAGTTGTACATATGTTGATTTCCTCAATACAGCAAATCATTGTTTACCATATATTTATAAAATCCATTTTATTTCTGAAATTAAAGTTGCACATTAATTTGCAAAGTACTTCCATTTTTTTTCTTTAATAGATCGTGTATCCATAACTGATCTCTTGGTGTTATTTACTGAGCTTATTTATTACTCTCCAAGTTACCCAAAGACAGCTTTGGCAGCGCATACAGGTAAATGCTTGGGTTTTAATATATGCTGATACATATAATTTTAATGAGGCACCTGGTAACTTCTTGTGCAGTTTTTAATTTGGGTCTGTTATTTGTACAGATTTTTCTTTTTCCTTCCTCCCTTACCTTTCTTTCTGCTCTCAGTGTTAAATCTGTACTTAGTGAAATTATAATTCAAAAGCATGTATATGAGCCATATAGATATGTTTGTGTAAGTTAAAATAATAAATAAATACTTCTTGTGTTCACCAGACAATTATTCTGCAGCAAGTCTTGTTATGGAGATTCTGCAAGTTTTTTGTGATCAGACAGGATGTGCTGCTGAATGTTTATATACAGATGCAGTGATAGATGCCCTGCTTCATCCTGTTCAAAGTTTACTGAGTGGCACACAGGTTTGTAGTAATCTTACAAATAATTTCTAAATCTGTAGAATATTACATTTTTTCTGTGTTTTCTATGTATAAGATTTATTTAGTCAAATGGTGACTTCTATAGTATTTTCTGCATTAGCTGTTATAGTATGCCTTAAATAACAAAGGCTGTCGTTGTGAATGGTCTGACAAACTTGGCTTTCTTGAAATTATGTGAATAGTAGCAAAAATTCTGCTGTGGTAAGACTGTTCCCTCAGGAAAATCACATAGCTTATTTTTTTATTTTTTATTTTTTCCTTCTGAAGTCTTTTGGATATTTCTTGGGTGCTTATTTACTCTGCTATTTAAAAGGCAGCATACATTTATTCCTTTTTAATTCAGATGGCAGCTTGAAGCAAAGTATTCTCAATAATAGTATGTGTAAAATATGTAATTCTTCATGGAAAAATAGTATTTTTTGAATTGGTAAAAGCAAGATTTCTTTTTTGTTGCCTTTTTCTAAAACATTTCTCTAAGAATTGTAAAAATGTTGTGAAACATTATGCACCTTTAGGTATTTGGAAGTCAAGTTATAGTTTCAGATTGTCCTATTATTTTTGTTTTGAGTGAGATGATTTAATTGATCTAGGTAACTGTAAGTCTCAAGAAAGAGGTCTGAAATGCCCATGGAGGAGCCTGAGCCTTCTACATAAAGAGACTTTGAGAGAAATGAATGCTGAGAAGTTCTGAATTTACATCCTGAGACTCATACTTGCAACAAGTCTGGGTCCCCAATTAAAATATACCTCAGCTAGGTTCTTGAAGTTTAATTTTGTCAGTATCCTTGTAGTTATTTTTTCAGTACAGTTTGTTTATTTTTCAGAAAAGACTCTTCATATTAATTCCTGGACATATTTTTACCTATACAGAAATATTCCAGTGCTGTTTCAAAAGTGTGAACAATGAGTTTCCAAGTAAATATTTTAAAGTATGTATTTACAAGGGAATGCAGGGATAGAACAAGGGAGAATGGCTTTAAACTGGAAGAGGGTAGATTTAGATTAGGTATTAGGAAAAAATTCTCTACTATGAGGGCAGTGAGATGCCAGAACAGGTTGCCCAGAGAAGCTGTGGCTGCCCCATCCTTGGAAGTGTTCAAGGCCAGGTTGGATGGGACTTTGGGCAACCTGGTGTATTGGAAGGTGTCCCTTCCTGTGACAGGAGATTGGAACTAAATGAGCTTTGAGGTCCCTTCCAACCCAAACCATTCTATGATTTTGTGAAGCTTAAAAGAATAGTCCTGCAAAAACTTGATCATGTCAATAATTTAGCTCTTCTGTGGCTATCTGTACTGAGTATAGTAGCATTATTTATACATTTCATTATAAGTGTATCTATAACGCTTTTGCAAGACTAATACTTTTAGTTGTCTTCTTTTTACTGTAGTTTGCAAAAATTTAGTGCAATTTTTCTTGAGTAGGCTGAGCCTGCAAATAGTTTGGACACAGTCAAAAACTGTACAAAGGCAGTATCTCATTGATTTGCTGCGACGGAGGCCTGTGTAATTCCCCAGGCAGTCTCTATGGTCATATGGTATGCTAAAGAATGTGCAATTGTATTCTTTATTATACATTAGTAATTAAAAAAGAAAACATTTTAATATTTAACAGTTTCTCCTTTTCATTTTTTGTTTCTGTGGTGCTCAGCTGTCTCTTGTAGGTAGATGAACTCAACAAATTTTAAGCCCTCCTGCGACTTAGTAACTGGTCTGTTTATAAAAAATAGGTCGTGTCTAGGAATACTTAATGCACAGTAGCTGTAGTAGATTGGTTACGTGTTATGAATCTGGAATATGTCGTATCCGTTGTAACAAAGGTGCAAATTTTTTGTATTGCACCTGGCAAACCAATAGCTAGAAAAGGTAGACCAAGTCAGAGTGATCTTCTTCCTCTTTTACAAGAATTTGAACTGGTTTTGCTCCCCAGCTAAACCATTGGCACTTCTTAGACACTTAGAAATCCTAATGCTGGACTCTAATACTGGACCATGCCTGTCTCAAAAGGAAGGCTGTGGCCATGCACGCATCTTTCTTTAGCTGGGACTGGGAAGTGGGTAACACTAAATCAGCATATGGGCCTAATGAGCAAACGCAATGCTGTTATTCTACATTTGAGCTTTGAATTCATTCAGATAAGTGCAAGCCTTACTTGCTTTTTAAGCAGAGTAATGTGTATTTGTGGGGGTTAGGGGAAGAAACTCATCTGTGAGCAGGAGTTGTCAGAAGGATCAGTTTGTGGGCAGCGATATTGACCTTTTGGGCTCTGTAGCCTCCGGCTTGCTGCTGAAGCATAGCTGGTGCAGAACGTTGCATTCACATTTTAAATAAACAAAGTACGGTGTTTTGGGGCTTTTTTTGGTGTTGCACAAAGAAAGCAAAATAACACTCTTGAAGAAACTGACAGCACAGTATGTACTTTCTTAGAATCCTGAACGATGATATCCAGTAACCAAAAAAAATAAAAGGTATGGGAGATTTTTAACCCTCTATCACTGAAAATTTTAACTATAAAACAAAGTCAGAATTTTGTTTTTCTCAGGTTACTTTGACCACTGGCATTAATAATAAATTCTTTAAAATTTAAGTAGGAAGACTGTTTTCCTCAGCTCATTATATAAAATGTAGAGCTACGCGTAAGAGAAGAAGCAGGAGCATTTAAAAAATAATTTCTCTTGTGAGTCCAGCTGTCCTTCATGAATAACAGAAGAGTAGAAAAGCTTTAAGCAGAGGACTTCAATTTCAGGAGAGTGGTATTTAATTCGCTATTCTGACGTACTAGATACTTAGCAAGTGTTACTGGGAACAATAATCCTCCCTAGCTCATTGTTGCCAAAGGTTCATTTCGCTGTTGACTCCACTCTGTAGTTCTGGGTGTTGATAAGGGGAAACTACCAATGAGGACTTCTCACTTTGAAAACCATCCTTCTCCTTTTAAGTCCATTAATGCATAAATCCCAGGAATTTGGAGTGTTTCTCAGTCCCTGGGTGAGAAGGTGTACTCTGGGTATGTCATGACTATCTAGTTGAGGCACATGGACAGTAATGGAGTTTAGGTGAGCATCTTTAGGAAACTCTGTAAGTCCTGCAGAACTACAGCTACTTGTCTGCTGTCAGGCCTTGGCAAATCTTCCCCGCTAACTTCCTCTCATCTGGGCTTGGCAGCCTAGGCTCAGGGCCAGCATTGATAATGTTGTGGCTGTCCAGCCTTCAAGATAACTGTTTTAGAAAGCTCTTCTAGGAAGTCTTGGCAGAGATATCCCCAGTGATGACTCTGTTAATAAGGTTCAGTGTGGACTCATCACAGGAGTGGCTTTTAAGATGATGTTCTTGTCCTCATTCCCTGCCCGTACTAGGTTGTAGCAGCAAGGAAGCCTACTATCTCATTAATCTGAACCTTGACCCACAGAACATGATTTCTTGGTTTGTTTTACCTCAGACCTGCCTTGTCACTATAAATCCAGTTGTACGATGATCACTGTGCTGTGTCTGACCATAGTTACTCAGTCTGGAGCTGACTTGGTTTCCTGGCTTAACCTTGGACCTTCCTCATCACTGTGGAGGGGATCTGGACTGTTGGGTGAACCTGATTACTATCACTGGACCTTGTCTGCTCACCTTGCTTGGGAATGGTGGGACTACCTGCCCATCTGATGGCGAGCCATTGCCTCTGCCTGCATCACTATCATGCTCAGCCCCTGGCCTCTTGTTCCTTGTATAGTATTCTGCCCTTGCTGCTCTCTGACAGGTTCTTCGTGGAGCATCCAGTATGGGACATACTGACTTCACTTACTAATAAGCAATGGCCAATTTAACCTTGATTTGGATAGTACATTCATTAGTAATGGTGCCATACCAAACAGTCTGAATCTCAGTGTTAAACGTTCAGGCTGCTTAATTACAGCCTAGTTATGGCTATACCGTGCTCTGAAGTGAGTAAGAAATTGGTAGAAGACTTTTGCTTTGCTCTAGTGGGGAAGATTTTCCTCATGATTCCAAAGCAGATGGCTGTTTCAGCCTACTGCAGCCTTCAAGTGAGGTGAACACAGATGATCTTGGAAATTTGAATTCCATTTCTAGCCAAAAAGTTGTCAATGCTTATGCAGCAACAAATGAATTAGCATGTTTCTCGCCTTGGTTCAGGTATTGTTCTTAAACCCCTAGATGGCATGTCAAGAGACTTACCACATTCATGTGGAAAAAGAGAAGGAGTTCCAAAACGTCTGTTTTCTATATCTGTGCAATCATTGAACTTCTGCCATAATCATTTAAAGTGGCAATTACTGCCATTTGTGATGAAGATTTCTATATGATGGTGATAGTCTGTTTACTTACTTTGTTTAAGCCGTTAAGCAGTCATGGGACAGGTGACCTTCAGGTTCTGTATACATAAGCCAGACTTGAATAAACAGCTTTCACAAAAGCACTTAATTTAAAACTTCTTTTTATTATTATTTTTTCTTCCATATAGGTGTATATGAATTGTCTTGAAACCACTTTAATTGATGTAGCTGATATTTTGGCAAGGATTGCTGCTGTAGGTGATGGTCTTTCTTTTCTTCTTCATGGAGAAAACGAAAAAACTGCTAAAGAAGATAGGTAAGAGTGCTTTAATGAATGTCATTAGTGAGTACCTTAATGCATTAGATTAATCTTATGAGGCTTATTTTCTCTTTTTTCATTTATTTATAATGTGATATGTTTTGTTTGGAGTTTAATATCTGATTATCAAGTAAAGTAGAAAGTGGTGTATTAGGGAGATATGTGTATAACCAGGTGAAATGACAATTTAAAGAAATACTTCTATTAAGGGAGATTTCCATGGTTCTTGTTTTTCTAATTCATGTGAGAGCTTTCCTTTCTCTGAATATATTTCTGTTGTATTTGTAGTGCTACTACTCAGGCCAAAGGCTTCTTTTCTGTTTTTTTGTTTCTTTCTCTTTAGAATAAATATTAATAATCAACCTAATCTATTAAAGAATAGATTCAATATAGCATTCACTTTTCAATACATGTAGTAGAGACAGATCTTCTATCAGAAGCTGACATTTGTAACACTGTACCTAACTTAAGATCTGTGTGATGCTATGGGCAGTAAATTGTTAGCTGATGCTAAAACTTGAAACAGGACAGTAAAATTGAGACTAGTCTTTAAAAATAGCTAAGTTGCAGGTGGTGAAAATGTTTGGAATGTATGTCTTCTAAGTGGAGGAGTCTCAGAAGTTTCATGTTTTTAAGGGGGGGTTGGAAGTAAAAGAGAGTATTCTGAGAGAGTTGTCCTTTGCATTGCAAACCTAGAAGACTTCAAAAGGACATCTCAGATATGAAAAAGAAAGAAAAAGGAGAAATTTTGACTTGCAGTGATATCCTTAACACTGATTAAACAGAAGCTAAAATTATTATCTTGTTACTCTTCCCAGCTGGACTTCTATATAACACACAGCCTGTGTAGTTCATGCCCATGTGGGATGGATGGAAGACAGTGGATGCATTTTTACTTTATGTAGACTTGTAGCCAAAGTAAAATCACTTCCTGTACATTTCTTTCCTTCTGACTGGTGTTACAAGTTATGACATAGTGGGTCATAGTTTCTTTCCCCCTAGAAAAAACGGACAAAGTTTGGTCAGGGGATTTGTTTCAAGGTTTATTGATGACAAAACAACATTTTAAAAGTGTTATTTTATTTTTAGTCCTACAGCTGTTCATGTTATTGTTCAGTTTACAAAGAAACTTCTTCATGACGACATTTCTCTTTTATCTGGATCCGAGCTTTTGCCAGTTGTTAAAGGAGCTTTCATTTTTGTATGTCGTCAGATGTACAGAACTTGTGAAGGCCTGCAGATGCTAATTCCTTATGGCTTGCATGAATCTATGGGAGAGGCCTGGAAAAAGGTAAATCTTGTTTTGGATTCAGAAAATTGGAAAAAAAATCCTAAGAGATTCAGCTTATGCAATAATTGTACTTTGCTTCAGGTTGCTTATATTTAAGTAGTGAGATAAGGCTTGGAATTGTTCTAAAACTGAAGTTCTGCTTTTCAAATTCACCTTCTCTATGTGAACCTAGCAGAAGCTTTGTTTGAGACTTGATGCATTAAGATTAAACCAAGAACTCTCAAGATATCAAGAACAGTGGTCTTTCTGCTAGAGGTCACTTGCTATCATGATAGCCAGTGTCCACCACAGATCTTATCTTCACTCTTGGTTTGGGAAATTCTGAAAGGAAAAACTCCTGAGATCCAGTCTTAGTAATTTTTAGATTAAACTAGTTCATTTTGGTGGGAGGTGCGGAGGAAAAAAAAGGGAGATTCCAAATGTTTGACTTAGATGCCATTGAAATATTCTCAAGAAACCATAATGAGAAGTGCTGGGTAGAAGTTCTTGCTTAGCTATATAGAATCACAGAGTAGTTAGGGTTGTAAAGGACCTTAAGATCATCTAGTTCCAACTCCCCTGCCATGGGCAGGGACACCTTGTACTAAACCATGTTGCCAAAGGCTCTGTCCAACCTGGCCTTGAACACCACCAGGGATGGAGCATTCACAGCTTCCTTGGGCATTCCATTGCCCAGCTTCC